GGGAAAGAACCTCTCACCTTAGAAAGTGATAGCATCAAAAATGAAGAATATAGGTTCAAGGATTAATATTGGACAACAAGTGCTGTACAAGCACATTGCAAAACATGCTCTGAGGCACTGCGGAAGTATAAATGAAAAGCAGTAATGAAGAGGATAGCTGGCAACAATTTATAGGTATGCAAGAGGAATATCCACCCTCCAGCAAAGCGATGGTGTTGATAATCCACCGGGAGACCGAGGGCTGCATCGCATTTGCACGCGACAGAAGAGACTGCCGCAGCCACCCTCGTCTCGGGCGCGTGCGTAGCGCAAAGCCAATTGGCTCAAGACGGAGCAGTGCCTGCCGAGACCAGTCACCTCTGCAGCCCAAACCTCCGCTCCAGGGAAACGCCGTGCTAAGTCGGAAGAAGCTCACAAAAATCACGTATCATCGCCTCAAGGCTGACAGGGTAGGGCCAGGCTGGTCCCGACAGGGAAAAGAAGTCAGGGAAATACTGATGAGGGCAATACCCTCATTTTGACGAGGTACAGATCTTTTTGGTCACCTGTCTACGAGCTTCCAGAGATCATGAAATGAGGAAGGATAGTATTTCCATCTTGATGGTTAAAACAATAGAAGAGCGTGGATTTCAAGGGGTTCCATGGTAATAGTTTATAGCTCTGTAATCTTGTAGTCCCAGGATGCTTATAACCTAAGAATACAAAACTCTGAATGTTCTGCTAAGAATGCAGAGTAACATCTTGCTTACCTGCATGTTGTCTTTGCCAAGTACTTGGCATCACAGAGAATCGGGCTGAAGTAGCTGTGGGGATTTGAGAGTTCTCACATATTTCTACATATTTGGGGTTTTTTCCCCTTTTCTTTTCACATCCTTCTTAGAACTAATGACACGCTCATTTCCTGGAGGGGGGTGGTGTTTTTGTCAGATTCTTGTCTTTCCCTGCAACACGCTGTATGCTCACCCAGGGAAGGGGTTGAGTCCCCATCCCTGGAGGTATTTAAAAGGCGTGTAGGCGCGGCACTTAGGGATATGATTTAGTGGTGGACTTGGCAGTGCTAGGTTTATGGTTGGACTCGATGATCTTAAAGGCCTTTTCCAACCTAAACGATTCTATGATTCTCAATAGGGAAGAGGGCAAAGCTGGGACAGAGGGTCTCACCAACAGCCCAGGAGAGCCAGAGTTGCCGCTCCTGCTGTCGATAAGGGAGGGCTGAGAGCAGGGAATGCTGTTGCTGCCAGGCAGCACTTGCTGCAGTAGCAGTTGCTGCCACAAATCTGACTTTGCAAAACCAGTCTGTTGCTGCTCACGCCTAAAGCCAACCCCCCAGCGCATTAACAGCATCAGGGAACCTTCGGCCTTGCGCCGCACGCCCTCCACCTGCTTCGTCCGCACCTTCCTTCCTGAGGTTCTCCTCGAGAGCAGACAGCTTGAGATCGTAGTGATTCCTCAGGCTACTGATGTCCTCCTCGAGGTGGGCACGGGACGCCTGCTCCGCTTCATAGCTGGCCTTTAGCTGGGCCAGCCTCTCTTCGTACTCCTGGAAGGCACAGCAGACAGCCTGACGCAACAGCCCTGCAACCGTACGCGAGGTCGCATCTGGGTCCATTCTAGGCCACATCTTATGTCCACCCCAATAAAACTTTACCGCCCCGTATTCACTGACTTTTTCTGTGACTCAGGTTGACATGGGATTGATGGAAGGTGACTAGTTAGCCCCAGAAACCGCTGTCTTGGGCGGATGTGGTGCCCTGGAAGGAGCTTTGTAAAGAGCAAGGACAGAGTTTTATTTCCTTCTGGCCCCCAACTCCTCATTCTTCCTCCTGGCTCCATATCCCCTCTTTTATCTTCATCCTTATACTGTTCCTAACATCTCTGACTATTGCTTTCCTCTTGCCTATTTCTCCCTCCTAAGACAGGAGGAATCTAAGTTTCACATGTAGTTTCCTCTTCTTGTTATATGTACTTCAAAAATTCTTCTTGGGAATCCATTCCAATTCATCTCCAGAGCGGTGGGAACGATGCTGAGAGAAAGTGTCACTGTAAATAAGGCCTCCATCAACACACGTTGGGAGAAGCCCAAGGACCAAAAAATAGGAAGAGAAGTGTTCTGAAAAGGCTGAACCATGCAGCCCTACACCGTATTTGTAACGGTTATTATAAAAACCCACAAGCCTTAGTCAAAGGCGCTATGGGATACCCCTTCCTGACTTACTTCTCTGATCAGCTGCTTCTCTGCTTCAAGATCTAACTCGGGTTTGAGGGGGGGAGCTGGCTTTGCTTCCAGGTGAGCCATCTCAGTGGGTAGGAGCCCTACAAAGCAAAGCAGAAATAAAAATCACTGACAATTACTGGGTGGGATTGTCTGTAGAATGCCTGGAAACAGAACAAAGAACCTGGCTGCCAGCAAAGAACGTCGCAATCCACGCGCTCCTTTAAACTGCACTCGTGTGGCAGCATCTGTGCTGCCAAAACGCCCACTGGCCTGGGACTCCATAGGTGTGGGGAGAGAAGGAGTCAGCGCTGAGCAGAGGGGGAGAGGTTTAAGCTTCAGGTATATGAAAGCGAGTATAAATCTAATCTCTTTCACAGAATAACAGGAGACTTGTTTCCAGGGCTATGCTAACAGATTTGGAAGATAAAAGACTCTGGGAAGGAGATGAAAGGCACAAGGAAATTGCCTTCTTTCTTCACAGCTGTTTCTGAAAGGTGGCAGAAATCGAGGTGGGGGGAATCTTACAGCCTTGCTACTCTGCTGGAAGTTGCCCCTTTTTTAGGGGATAATTCTCAAAAGGTGATCAGCTCCCTAACGACTGCTCTTACCCATCGGTCCCCACATTTGCTGTTCCTACTTCATAGCAAAGAGCGAAGCTGCTGAGGCTGGGCTGAATCCTCAAAGAGAGGACAAGGCTGCTCTCCATAAGCAACGCCATCAGCAGGGCAAAACTTCTCTCGTAGTGTCAAAAATTCACAGTGTAGGAGAACAGAGGACAAATGCTAAATTTGAAAACATATATTTAATAAAAGAATTTTACATTATTATTTCTTTAGCAGCTCATTTTTGCTCTCCCAGCTGAAACCCCTGTTCTGTGACTGACCAAATTCTAGCCAGAATGACAAAGAACCACCAAGGATTTGAATCACATCAGCATTTTCTAACAGAATTTGTCATTATTGAAAATACTGGATAACTGTGATGGTCTTTACCAGTGGAATAAGGTCAATTTGGCAACCGTGAATGCAAAGTCCATTACCAGAATGGACACCTCTTCCTCCAACAGGTAAGGGGCAGGTTGAGGTTAAATCCAGTGAGCATTTTACGTGTAAAAACGTCTTTTTTTCTGTCAAAGATAAAACACCTCTGGAGCCACTAAGGGCTCTCCTACCTGAAGAGTTACTCGCGCTCATCTGTTCAGCTAGAATGGCCTTCAGCTTCTTAATCTCCTCCTGATACTCCCTCAGCAGAGCATCCTTGGGGTCCTCGTTGATACAGGGCTTGTTCTTGATGTTCTTCGCTCGATTAGCATAGCGTAAAGTACTGAGGCTTTCATCGTAGTTGTTATCAGCCGGAGATAAGCACGCTACCATCAGCGTCTTGGTGTTCCCTCCGAGGGAGTCTTGCAGCAGCCTGGTCAGCTTGGAGTCTCGGTAGGGGATGTGCTTACACCGGCCGTCAACCAGGGCCGAGATGACATTGCCCAGAGCTGAGAGGGAGAGGTTGATTTTGGTGGCCTCTTTCAGCCGCTCACCCGTGGCTCCAGTTTTTGACTGTCTCTCGCTTCCTGCCAGATCCACTAAATTGAGTTTTGCGGCCCTAAGGTGATCCTGCCCTCGCTCATCTGCGAGAAAATAATTCCGGGTTAGGCTCTTCTTAAGAGGAAGCATCTTAACAGTCAAGAAACAGGACCCTCTTGGCATCATGTTCCACTTCAAGCCCTGTTCTTTGCCTGCATTTGGGCCCTGACTCCTTTAAGTAAATAAACACCTATTTAATCTTAGAACTACACATTTCGGTGCTTTCCTGAACGAGATCCTGCACAGTAAGAATTCATACCGGTTCTTACTCTCCTTGTGAGCTCTGAACACGCACACCCCCTCCACCTATTTCCACACTGTTCAGAATTTCACGCAAAGCCCTCTGCAAGTAACAAGGTCAGACCATGAGTTTATACTCCTCAGATTGTTTCAAGAAGTTAAATAATGCCTGACAGTTGGGGAGAAAGAAGGGAACTCCCAAACTACAGCTTTTCTCAAGACTGGAGTCCAACCTACTCTAATCAATGGATGTATTCAAGAAGTTTCTTGCTGTGCTTCAAAAGGAAAAGCACATCCTATGGGATACCATCAAGGTCCACCATCTGGCTCGAATGTTCAAGAAGCCCAGCAGATCTCCCCTCTCGCCCAGATAACTGTAAAACTGCGCCGTGACTCAGCACACAGGCATGCTCGGCAGCATCTGTTCCTCCTCAACTCATGACATTCTCGGTGAGAAAGTAAAATGAAGGAACGCAGGCGAGAAACAGGAAAACTGCAAGAAATCGGGACCGCGCTCAGCCCGAACCACCTGGATGAGGAGCTGGATCTCAGCGAGTGAGGAGTCAGGCCCATCTGATGGTGCCATTCCCATCATACCGCTTTAAGGCAAGAGAATATGTGAGCTGAAGTTAACTGCTAGCTCCCCAGCTACCTGGATGCACACCTCACACATATAATATCTGCTTCCTGACCTGCGTTTTGAGGCCGGATTAACGTGATGATACAAATCCCCCGTGACTAAGAGAGCGCGCATTCGGTTGCTTTAGGAACCCCGCGGTTTTGCTGGCTACGTAGCTTTCCCAGCTTCATGCAGAGCAAAGAGTTGGACACATATTCCCAAATCACAGACTGCTGTCCTAAGCGCTGGACTGCACTCTTGGATGTCCACATCCCAATCATCCCTCACGATTACAACCCAAGTTCAAGGGAAGAGCGCCTTTAGTGCTCCAAGCAAAAAGAACATCGAGGTTTTAACCAAGTCTGCCCTTGTCCAGACAGAAATCTACAAAATCTAGCCTTCAATTTAGTCAGAGTTAAGCTTTGCAGCTGTGGCCAATACCTAAACATGAGCAATGAATAATACCGTGCATGGGGGAAAGTGAAAAGTTCACAGGTAAACAAAAAAATCTAAAATCTATTGCCCCAGGATATTCCCCGTTCCAGCAACAGATTTTTAGCTGTGGAACTTAACGTTTGCTGCAGAGCAAACTTGTTGTTTCACTCCAGATTTTTCTGGCGTGTCAAGACATGGGAGAATCAGGGAGGAAAAAAAAACCCAGATGGAGCTTAAATAGAGCACCCTCTCACTATCCTGTCTGAGAGCAGAGGTGGGTGGACAGTCACAAAAAGGAAGTTTTCTAACCCTTTCCCTCTTTCCCCCAGTTTACGTAAACACTGACAGGCAATTAAAAAGTTGTTTTGGTGTCTGCCAGTCCTTTTACCAGGGAGGCTGTTTGTTTCAATCGAGGAGCTTAGCGGTTTAGTTTCCATGGTGTAATAAGGTCCCCAGACTCTCGCTAAAATGCCCGCAGCAGCCCGGAAGTCTTGCCTGTCGAACTCCCATACAGCCCATCGGCCAGTGCTCGTGGCATAAGCACCTGCCAAATCTACGTCTTTCTCATTAACAAATCAATCCCTAAGCACAACGTAAAGGAATAAAACATCTGCTACTCCAAATACAGTAAAAATACCGATGGTAGCTTGCATGTTTCGTACCTCTGCAGCCAGAGAGCCTGGTATTTGCCATATAATCTTGTTCCTGAATCTAAATTGTTAAAGAGTGGCTTTAGTCCACATAACTGCAAAGAGATCCTTTAAAACATCAACTCCCAGTAAATTATAATTTACTACAGGCTCAACTGGAAAATAAATTTGAACTTCCCCATGCACCACTTCATGAAGTCTAAAGATGACAACATACATGCCAACTTCATTAACTATTTCAACTCATGATTACCATAGTAGAACCATCCAGTTACAGGGATTGTGCCAGAACCCTCAACTTTCTCCTCAAATATTCCAGCTCTCTTCCATTTAACTGCCAAAACCGCAAGTTTCCCCACCTGCCATTCTGTTCCATGTAACAAGTTTTCAAAGCTTTAAATCAGAGACATTGTTTCAGGCTAGATCAAGGGCCCTGCACCCAGCTGGAACACAAAAGAGGAGAGTAAATACTTCTTTTTCCTTGTTAGGATTAAAGCTGGGATTTTACAGACCCGCATAATGCAAAGATTAGCATCCACCGGCTGTGCCAACTGAGAAATTCCAAAAATCCCACACGCACCATAGAGGAAAATGAGGTACTGTCACCAACATCTGGAACCACAATTTAGGAAGACATTGTGTAACTTCCCCCTTGGTGGAAACAGCTGAAGAAAACGAAGCCAAGCTGTTCACAGCCTCAGCCGGGGTCAAGGACTGGACAGAATATAGGAGATTAATTCCTTTCTTAGTCCCAGAAAAAACCCTTTCGAGGTCCACGTTCAGACCCAGCGAGGCAGCTTTATCAGCTAGAGAAACACCAGTGGAAATGAGACGCTCGAGAAAGGCAAATTAGTCATTAAAACATTATTAAGGGATTCTTTTATTCCATCTGAAAACCCAGATTAGCTGTTTGCTTAAAAGATGTGCCCCGCGTGCTCAATGAAGGAGTCGTTGGGTGAAATGATCTGACTTGCATTGTAAAGGAGATCAGACAGGACAGATAACGACATACGTTTCTCCAGGCTGTACAATGTATGAACTCCAAGCCATTGTACGGGCTGTGAAATTTAAACCTTTATTTCCAGCAAAGGGTGCTAAGAAGATAAAGAAATGGAAGGAGAATTAAGTATGTTCCCAGTTCGAGTGTAAGACATTTCTCTCCCAAGGGGTAATCGAGGGGAAAAAAGCCTTTGAGTACTCAGCCATTTCACACTGTGAAGAATGTCCGTGACAGGGCACACTTCTCATTTCTGTTGGATCTAAAATCGTTTAGGACCTACGTTTTGCTGTGGGGTGACTGGTCAGACCGCACAGATTTTGCGCTCTGCTAGGCCCAGGCCTAACGCAGGACATCCAGCTACCTACCTACGGTGCAGATTTCCATACTGACAGTAAAGATGGAGTGGGAGCGGGAAGAATCCTTATTCATGAGGGTGTAACCCACCGCTCGGTTTCTCCAGCCCGTCTCCATGATCCGCTCGCACTGGACCACGCTATGCACTGTGTGCAGGGAGAGCCCCTTCACGTACACCCCTTTCTCTGGGTGCTCCTTCAGCTGCAAACAGGGACAACGCAAGACAGGTTAGAACAAGACGCACCGAGACGGCGGGGAGGCACGCTGGAAAACTATCTGGAAGCTTGAGGGCTACGCGAGTTTTGCATGTGGAGAAATTAAACTGCGGTACGGCAAAACAGTATCTGGCTGCCGCCAAAAAACTTTAGTATTGCTGAAGCAGGCATAAAGCCACACAAAAGAGGGAACCACCTTCATGGCTCTGCAGGCAAAAGAATTAAAGTTAAAAATTTGCTGATTGATGCAGACATCTCCCAGGCCACAAGAAACCTGCGCTGAGCCGCCTTCTCCCTCCCCTATTATTAAGCTGCATATTTTAAAATAAGAACTGAAATGGTTTTCACCTATTATGGCGAAGGCTCTAATACCTCTTCAGTCATAGGGAGTTTTTTAAAAATCAAAGCACAGATTGAATAGTCACCGATATTGTTACCGGTGCTTGGCTGAACCCCTCTGCGCTGAGAGGGCGGCTTGATCTCCCTGACAAAATTCCCAAAGTCACACCCATCACGCACAGGCAGACCGTAATAATTTTTCTCCAGATTAGTTCATTTTTAAGATGCTCTAAAATCCTATTCAGGCACCTGGATAGATACAAAGTGTTAAATACCCAACGGCATCTTTTCAGCAATTATCAATCACGCAGAAGAGAAATTTCATACAGTGTGCTAATAAACGATTGAAATGTTCAAAATCTGAACGATCCATCAAACCTACCTAAAAAATACAAAACAATCGAGAGATCCCTGCACTCCTACACCAGCCCCCTCAAGCTCCCTCCACACTGGGAATTTTAAAAGAGCTGCATTCATTTTCAACAGCTATGTTACGCCCCACGTCTGCCGAGTTCATAACCAAAACTCTATCTTTATCGTGTCAGCTGGGATATCAAGATATGGCTGTCACGACTCAGTGTCACGGAGTGACAGACACTGCCTTTGTCAGTGTGACTTCCAAAGAAGGTCTTGAGATACTTGAGCGATGCATGCACCACATGAAGCAATGTAAAAATAGAGTGTTTGCTTTTAAAATATCTGCACAAACGGAGCAGAACTGGCTGAAAACTAAACTAGGCAGGATTTAGCCTTGTTCTGAAGCCGTGACTGCCAGGGTGAATCCAGTTACAGAATCCCAGCCGGACTGTGCCTGTGCTACAGGAGAACCCTGCGGCTGGCCCGGCTGGATCTGAGGGTGCTGCAGAGTCCCCAGGGAACACCCAACCAAGGACACGGCTGTCGTTAACTCCACGACAGACCGAGGGGGGCATTTTCCTCGCAGAGCACCGTAAAACCGGCTCTTCACAGGGTTTCGTGCCGCGGGAGGCGACTGTGGGCTTCAGAGTCACCAAAGTCACTGATGCTGAAAGGCAAAGGAACAAACAGAAATGGGATTTTGGAGGAGAGCCGGAGGACATGGAACAAAGCGGTAGGTCCGCCCGGGCTTTCGGTCTCCGCAGGACGTGCCTCCCTTAATTACTCGGTGGAGGCAGCAACAGGCAGCGGCTGTCACCGGTGTGATGGTGTTACCCTGGAAACTGTTCTGCCCAACTCCTGCCCTCCCAGTGCCAACCGCAGTCGTCATGGAAACCGGTGTCACTGCTGATGTGGAACAAAAGGATGGGAAACTGCGGCAAGCGCCTTCCGAAACAGCGAGTCCCCTTCTCCCACCCCTCGCTCTCCACACGCACACGCTAAGCACGCTCGGAAAGTGGAGCGGAGAGGGTTTTGCCTCCCTGAAAGCCAGGAGCCTGTTAAAAAAAATCTGCCCCGTAAGGCAGTTTGGGTCTGTCACCATCTCGGCATGTCTGTGCGGCAGATGGTGCTAGTGCCTTGTTTTTCTGCACAAGGCCAGTCCTGCAGGGAAGTAAATTAGCACAGGAGATTTGCAGCTTCCCCCAGGAATACATGAAAAAAGATCCGCAAAGCCACCAAGAGGTAAATTTTATAAGAGATCAGCCCCCTGATTAGGATTTCAGGAAAGTTTACCTTCCTGTGTTCCTGGCAACCGTCCGCCTTCCCCACGCGTTCCCATGGGGAGTAATATCTGCTCTGTCCCCTCCAAAAAGAATCGGCCTTTTTTGGTTTAGACAGGTGATGAGATCATCCGCAGCTACACTGGATCAGATTAAACATTTATAAGGCACAGAATCCTCCTGCCTTAGAGACAGCCATGAGATGAAGAGGATTAGGAAGAAATTGCCCCGTGAGCACTCTATTCCATCCTCGTCCAGTAATGATTTTCACACAGCTTTGACTAAACTACCGGCCGCTGTCGAGCGGGACACGTGGGACTGGATCCTGTTCCTTCTGCCACTAAACTTTCACTAAAGCCCCTCAAAATCTCCTCTTGGCTTCCATATTCATGACCATATCTTCATATTCTGGCGTTCAGCTTCTGACAGAGCGTATGATCGCACTTCTGCGAGGCATTCACGCTAACACTTATCTGAGCAAATTAAAGCACTTCCTAATTAAGACCCATTGACTCCGCCTCACCTCCAACTTCTGCTTGGTATCAGCTCCTAGAAGGTCTCGTATGTCTTCGTTGTAAATCTCCAGGTAGGAAGCTCTCACCAAGAACTTGGCATTTTCAGCACACTGCACAAAACAGGAACAAATTTCGGGTAAGGTTCTCAAAATGAAGGCGAGTAGGCAGCCCACGTAGATCCTCAATGCCAGCCGGGTGCCTACCTCCCATCGGCACTTCACCAAATCTCTCCTGGCGTTCCCCGGTATAACTACTCAACACGCTCACTATAGGGACTTTCGGTCCTTAAACATCTCAGATGCAAGTCCATAAAGTCAGCAGAGATGAGGGTGCAGTGCATCTGACTATATGCAGGCCTCAGCTTTAGGATGAGAGGCAGCATACCGAAAAGCCTGTCCCCATTCTTGCTCCCAAGCGCCATCGGCACTCAGTCCTTAGGGCACGACACAAAAATCACCTTCCTCAATATCACACCACCTTACAACAGGATCTCTTTCACATCCTGACACACCTACCTGCACGCTCTCAAAAATGTGTTCAAATGCCCTGGGTATTATGCCTTTCTGTGTAGAAGGATCCACGATTCCCTGCATGGTGAATGACTTCCCGCTGCCAGTCTGGCCGTAGGCAAATATGGTGCCGTTGTAGCCTTCGGTGACACCCTGGAAACGGAGGAAAAAAAAAATAAAAAAGCCATTATCCTCACCCTTCGCATAACCAGAAGTACGTTGTCCAGATTCAATCCCACCTCGTAAAAGGTATTTTAAAGGAAGAGCTAGAAGTAAACATCAAACAAGTGCTTGACCTTCAAATGCCATCAGAGTACAATAATAATAAAAGAATGCATTCTGCTAGCATATAAATTGATGGTTTTCTCTCAAAAATGGAAAATTGCAGGTGTTGAAAAGTGGAAGGGCAGCTGAGAACGCTTCAAAGACCAGAATATTTTTGCCATAGGGCAGAAAACTCTTGTGAAACCCAGAGAGACAACTAGAATTCTAGTTGGCTGTAGGGTGGCCAAAAGGACAGTCTCTAGCTTAGAATAATTTTCTCTTGGAAAGCTGGCTGAAAGAAGGCCTCACTTTGATTTCAGAGAAGCATGGCAGGAACAGAAGATATTTGGATTTCTTAAGGTTTAAATAAAATAATTAACCTATTAATCTAACAATCTACTGTTTCAATCCCTGATTGTTCTCAGGATCAGGAACTTCCATCTTAAAAATATCACTAGCCGTTTTATCCCTCTTTCTTCTTCTAACAAGATTGGGGCTTTTGGGCAGGGGTTGGGGTTTTTTTTTTTGCTTAACTGGTTCCTTTCCCACCCTAGCTCTTTGCTGTGCTGATGTGTTAACAAGGAAACAATCAAATCCCCTTTCATTTTGCTAGTCTAAAACAGGCTGAGGTTCCCTGTCTTCTCTAAGCTTTCTCACTCAACACTAAAAATGTCCCTAAAATCATCAGGAGTCTTGTTTGTCCCCCTTCTCCTCACATGGCCTTCCACTGCAGTTTCTGTCCAGCTACCAGGCCTGCTCAGGGGGGTTCATCTTTCATATAAACGTCCACCTAAAACAATTAAATGGAATTCTATCCTCAGTGCCCCGCTGGCTGCTGAAAGTTTTGTTTCTTCCCAATTTCCTAGCCTAGCACCGGGACACTGTTTTGCCCTTCTGCACCCCAGGGTTGCGGCTAAGCCGCTTGAAACGGCGGACAGGGCTGTTCTGTCCCTAAATCGGTTCCACTTCAGGATCACGGACCCACGTAAAACTCCTCAGCCCACGTCCCAGGCTACGTGCCGGCTGTGCTTGGCTTGCTTCGGGCACCACTCACCTCCACGAGCGGGTAGGCGATCTCGTTGTAGATCTGCTCCGTGTTGTGCTCCTGGTAGTACGCCCCGTCGAAGGTGAACTGCTTCGGGGGCTCGCCGGCGGCGGCGGGGTTTTGGAGGAAGCACTGACCCCGCACGCTCTCCATCCTGACGACCGCCTTGCAGCCCAGAGCCTTCTCACGCTCGTTCATGGGCCGGCAGCGCACGATCACCTTC